TTGTGGAATAAAAGTATGAACATGTCTCAGCCTCAGATACTCAACTAATCAAAGTGATGTCATAAAAAAAATGAACGAACAAAACATTTTTTCTCCTTCATTTCTGTCAAACAATGCTGTATGAAACGTTTCTCGCGGTTTGTATCATGGTTGCTAGGTAACCTGAGCAGCGCGACGAAGGCTAGACCGTCCCATTTCACAACCTCTCACTTCCGCACTTCTCGTACTTCCTAGTACGCACCGTTCCTAGTACGCAAACTGTGAATACTCTGAAGCGTACGGTCACTGGATTGGGACACAGCCGCAGTCTCCGGTATCATAGCTGTGTCCAAATTCAGGGGCCGCACCCTTTGGAGACTGCATTTGGAGGCCGATTACAGGAAGGCTGAATTGAAGGCTGTCCAAATTCGAAGACTCCGACAAATGCGTCCTTCATTTCCCCAGATTTCAAGGATGGGTCGGGTGTATCCTTCGTTGCCCAACCTATCCCAGAATTCATAGCACGGCCCAGCCAATTCCAGTTTCCAACAATGACGGCAGCTACTTAATTTTAATATTACTCTTTCTGGGTCACAAAATAAACTTTTAAGATATTTTCAAGTGAGAATTCAGCTGTCTAAACTTTAAATATCTGATCAGTTTATCAAGACATCACATTTTTGCAAAAGTGCACCAACATTTTCGGAGACATCTGTTACCCACCAGCTCGATAGCTAGCCGGGGCTCAAGGCTCACTAGAGCCGACGAGAACACCGAACTCCTGGCACATCGTTTTCAGACCCCCCGCGGTCTAAACATGATATATAAGTCACTTAGATAACTTAAAAATGTTGTTGTTTGGCTTTTTCCAGTGTTTCATGTGTTCCTGAGTAAGTTGGCTTGGCTGAGATTAAAGTTTTTTCACACAGCTGAAGAAAAATCAAACAGAAAACAGATTAAACAGAAAGTTTGAGATGGTAGAATTTACTCCAATGTCCTGTTATATTTTAGTTAGCAAGGAGCAGACGGCTATCTAATAGACTCCAATTTGTTCATGTGAGTCCGCTTCACACACCAAGGTTAATTATGGATATACTAGTAGGGCTGCTCAATTAATCGAATTTTAATCACGATTACGATCTGGGCTTTCAACGATCATTAAAAATGACTGAGCCGATTATTAGCCCCTCCCTCAT